GGTTTCATTAGTAAAATTTTGAGTAACTTGGGCCAAAATTTTTGATCGTCGCTCTTAGCCAATCAAAATCAAGAGATAGTCGCCGTTAGCCAATCAAAATCGATAATCGTCCGTGATAGGTCCAATATTCCAAAGATTTCTGGGACTTGTGTTACTACGATCGACCAACTCGATTTTCCACATGTTAATATGCAAAACTCTAAAAATAGTGGTACGTTTAATGATTTCGTACGTACTGTACGTACGTACGTACATACTTGCATGCAATAGAGTCTGGTTTGCATATTTCACATGCTTTCGATTATCACAGTTATAGATGATATAGTATGACAAAAAATGCGAAAAAAATAATAAGTGACTTTTATTCTTGTGGACTCCTTAAAATATCTAAATTGAAAAAAAATAACTAAAGAAAAATGGTAGGAATGCTTGGTGAAATTCGTTATTCTATTTTAAATCAAAACCAATTTCAAGAACTTTATGGAAAAGAATGGATACTTATGGATGGTTCATCTATTTTGGGAAGTGATTTGGAGAGAAAATTTGGTTGGACATTTGTACCTGATGCGAGAGGACTTTTTTTAAGATGTAAAAATAATGGAAGAAATGATGGATTAGAAAACCCAAGTGGAGAATTAAACCTAGGTCAATATCAAAAAGATAATTTAAAGTCGCATAATCATGTTGGTTTATTTGTTAATAATATTGAGGGTCAATGGGGACAGTCTTATTACAAAGGAGAATTTAATTCTCATAGACTTGCTACTCAATCATGGGATTCAACAAGATCTTTTTATACGGGTTATACGGGTGAAAAAGAAACTTGCCCAAAATCTATTACAGTAAATGCTTTTATTAAAATTAATTTCTCAATGCAATATGAATCATGTGAAGGTCTTAAATACGAAATATCCAAATATTTTAAGAATCTTGAGCAATTTCATCAAGACAAGATTTCAAAACTTCTTAATAAATCAGATAAGCAAGACCTCTCAGAAGCTTTCTGGCAACTAATAAAACCATTACTTTTACCAAACAAGCATATAAATGATTCAAATTTATTAGTAAGTCTGAATATATTTTTATTTTCTAAAGATTTGTTGAGATAAATTTTGAGATAATTTATATAAATATTTTTATAGTTAGAAATGATTTTTAAAATTTTAATAACTATATCGGAAATAACAAAACTTGAACCTGTTCTTTCTATTTTAGAAAGAATTCTGGTTACATATTTGTGGAAAGATATTACTAAACCACCAGTTATGCTAGCCGGTTGCAGAAATCGCAATGCCGACGGCTCTGATTACAGCAGACTTAACCTTTATTCAGAGCTGGGAAAATCTGGTTCTAGATACTCATGTTTGACCCGTATTAGAAAAATTTCTAAAAGTAATATACCTGATGCAAATGATATTTTTAATAGTATCATGAAACGTATTGAATTCAATAGTCATCCTTCGGGTATCAGCGCAAATTTGTTCTATTTGTCAATACTCATCGCACATGATTTATTTAATACTAGTTATAAAGATTCTACTATTAACCTTAACTCCTCATACCTTGACCTCGCTCCACTCTATGGAAGTAATCATAAACAACAGAATAGCGTTCGCACTTTCAAAAATGGTCAATTGAAGCCAGATACGTTTGCTGATTCACGAATTTTGTTACAACCACCTGGTGTGGGTTCTATGTTAATTCTTTTTTCACGAAATCACAACTATATTGCTGAACAACTCAAACAGCAAAATAAGCTCAGATTGGATGAGGATCTTTTCCAAACTGCACGTTTAATTAATTGTGGATATTATATGAAAATTATTTTACATAATTATCTTCGCACTATCCTCGGTCTTGATCAAACTACATCAGAGTGGTATCTTGATCCAAGACATTCATACAGTGATAACTGGTTGCTTCAAAACTTGCCTACTGGAATTGGAAATCAAGTTTCCTTAGAATACAGTTATGTCTATCGATGGTATTCAGTTATCACAGATGATGATACTATTTGGGTTGAAAAAAAATTCAGAGAAATTCTACAGCAGGATGATATAACTAAAGTAAAAATACTATGTATCTTATATAACTGTTCTTTTAAATTTTTAAAACAGATTACGTATTAAAATTATTGTTTAAAATAGATTAATTCTGATAAATTCTATAAAAAATTAGAAGAGTGGTTCGATGGACTAGATGAAGATCCATACGAATGGAACATTGATAATTTGATAAGAAAATCGGATGGAAAATATGCAGATTTTGATATTGCAATAAATCTCATAAAAGGAACAGAAAATGTTGCTGGTAAGAATCAATATATATATATATATATATATTTTTAGTGAAACTAACAGTTAACTAGATTGCCTTATACGTATTGGACAGGCGCTTTTGGAGCGAGAAGTATTCCCGAGATCTTTCGCATTATTGAGATTTCCAGTATTAAATCAGCTAGAGATTTAGGATTATGTAGTCTCAATGATTTTCGCCGTTTTCTAAATTTACAACCTTACAGTTCATTTGAAGATATGATGGGTTTAGAAAGCTCTGATAATCAGATATTAAAAGATCTTAAAAGGCTCTATAATAATGATATTGAAAACGTTGAATTGTATCCAGGTCTCATGACAGAAAAGACTAAACCTGCTAATAACATAGGTTCAATGATTGCATTTCCATATACTATTAGCCGTGCTATTCTATCGGATGTTGTTAATCTTATTCGAAATGATCGATTTTACACTGATGAATTTGACCATTATAATTTAACATTTTGGGATTGGGAAAAACTTGAAAAATCAAAAGATTTAGTATCTGGTGGCATTATACACCAACTCATCCTAGAGCACTTCCCTAAAATTTATAAAGCTAATTCGGCTTGGGCTTTATATCCATTTATTGCAAGTTCACATATTAAGGATTATCTTAAAAAGCGTGGTGATGACTTATATGAGAAACTTGATTATTTTAAACCACGTAATTATATTTAAGTCTTTTTACGCACCTATACGTATTATGAATTTTACATTTCATAAATCTTATTTTATATTAGCTCATGTTTTAGTCAAAACTTTGAAATCTTTCACAAAGATTTTAAAGAAATTCTTATTTTATATATATATATATATATATATCAGCAATTCTTAAATGTTTTCTGTGTTATCTGGTAGTATGTAATAGTTATATCTATATTCTAGACAGTTGGGTATAAGTAGAATTTTACAGTAAAGCATAATTGGCGATCTGCCGTATAAGCCTGGTATTGTTAAATTTGCATGAACATTTGCTTTTTTGAAATAACTTTTGACGTTCATTTGGGTCATTTGAAATTTATTAGTCAATTTCATATATAAAAAGTCATTTCCTATTATTGTTGACAAGCCCCCTTAATTCTTTCGTTCAAGTCTTTAACGATCAATGATTATCATTTCATTAGCCCAATAAAAAGTTCGATGAAAACAATTAAAATTACTAGTGAGATCAGATGACTTTATCAGTCATGTGTTTAAGTTGTTATTTTAACTTGCTTTGGATTTTTTGTGTAGTATCTTGTTAGGCGCAGGTTTTTTCTGTTAATGTTGTAATGATATATGATGTTGGAATATTAATCATTATGATCATTAGAGAACAAAGTAAGGGAAGCTATTACTATATAATTCTGGAGAGCAAACAAAAATGCAGTGCAATTCATTCTGATAGTAAGCTTGGACAATATGTAACAACAACGTGAAGTTTACTTGTAACGAATTTAATTTTACAATATTATTCTATGATTATACAAATGTAATCATAAAAAAAATAAACTACACAAATAAATAAGTAATAAGAAAGAAAAGATATAGAGAAAAAATAAACTAAGAAATAAACAATAATCAAAAGAAAAAAATAGATAAAACACAATTGAGAATTCGAATCTTATATTATTCAAGGTGATGTATCGAAGTTTAAAGAATTAATGAAAGTTGAACAAAGAGCCTATAGATATAATAAAAATATACAGTAAAAAGTCCAGTTTGGTCTGACTGAAGAGATGATAATTACAAAACGTCAAGACCTGTTAAACAAATAGTAGACACTAATTTTCGCAAAAATTGTGCTTTTATATGCCTCGTCAAATTGATAAAAAAAAATACCATGTGCAAGACATTTCATATACTTAATTTTCATTTACATATTTTTACTGTAGAAAGTAATCATCTTGCCCATTTAGAGTTAAAGAATGGCTGAAACGCAACTTTTAAAGTCGTTCCTTCTATCTGTTGACTTATAGTAAGTCAATTGTCTGG